TCATCATCCCTCGGGAATGTTGTTCTGTAGTCTTGTGCAGAGATGTCATATTTGGTCAGTTTCTGCTGAAGGTCATCAATGGGCAGCATTTTATAAAAAAATTTCAGTTTGTTAATGACTTTAAATATGCCAAGACCAGCAGCTGCCAGATCTTGCATGGACTTTTGGACCAGATTGACATTTGGATGGCAGTGCAAGGAAAAGCTTGTGTTGATGCGGCAGGCAGTTGTGCATGGCCCTTTCATTGTTAAGATTCTAAGGGTAATAACCTCATTTGCCACACCCACGTTTATCACCTTAGCAGAGCCATTAATTTTGCTGGCCTACAATAAAGGTAAATTTAGAAACACTATAAGTTGAAATTATTTTACTTTGAGTTGGAGTTTATATTTTCATGGTCTGGTAAATGGCAAATACCTTTTCTTTCTTAATTCATACGTGTAAATGCACAAGGGCACTCAGGGAGGTTTAAAAAATGAATTTCTTTTTAAGTTTTGACACCTTGGAGGACTGGGCACACATAAAAATTTCTACAAAAATGGAGTAATTCTGGTCGCATGAATGTTGGCTTCCTTGTTCCATAACCAAGAGTTTGATACAATGTTAGCACAGGAGAAGTTTTCATTCTTATTCTTAAATTGTAAGTACAGTATTGAACTTGCTATTATTGATGTTGTCACAGTTGTAAACCTGGTCCTTTCAAATGCCAAAATTAATACCCCAAAAAATGAGTGTGTGGTTCTAGAAATGTTTCTTCCCCTCCTCCCCAGAAGACTTTTTTTGGGTATGAAAACTACTGGAAAGAAAACAGTTTTATAACCGATAAGAGCAAGCAAAGAAACTAGTCATACAAGTACATGTGCAATATTTTACTACTCACAGTGTGCGAAATTCCCTTGTAAATCTCGAGGCTTTGGACAAGAGCGATTGCCATGTTTAGTGTTTCCAAGGCAATTTTATGACTTGTTACCCCTGTCTCCAAATTTATGGCTGTCCTCAGGTGATCATATAGTACATGCATGCTAAGAGCAAGGCGGAGGACGTGTTTGTTTCGCTTAGAATTGTTGCAGTTGGCTTCCTTTCCTTCCTTCCACGCTGGCCCCTTGTGTGCTTGGCAACTTATCTTGAGGCTTAGCGAATCTGAGGAAAGCCTCACGGGCACTTGCACTCAGGGAGTACTTCTGTTGGAACATTGTTATGTTCTACGTAAATTTGCTCAAGCACTATTGAGACTGGATAGGATAATTATCCAGCTCTTCGCAATGCTGGGCCATTACCTCCGAGTCTTTCTCCTCCTTTTTGTGGTAGAAAAGAAGCACTCGCTCGGCCAGGCCATTTTCGGCAGACAACATCTTCGGGCAAACCGTTTCGAGGAACTGCTTTGGGGTAGTGAACGCAAGGAACGAGACTCGTGCCGACGGGACCCCTGTACGCTTACCCTTGTTGCTCTTCAGCACGTACCAGCAATCGCCGTCGTAACACTTGCATAGCCGTTCCATGGTCAGATTCGCTTGAGGACCTTTCGATAAACTCGTAATCCTCGTTAGAAATGAGTGGGCCTTGTCGATACAGATGATAGGGTTGGTATTGCCCGTAGTGAAGTGGTTGAACAGGCCATTACTCGACGCGTCATCGATAACGAAGGTTTTTGTTTATTTTAGGCCCGAAATGTTCCACGATAGGATCGATACATCCTAAATGGCACGCAGGTGTTTTCCCAGAACCTGAAGGGGAGACCACAACAACGAAAAGATTCCCCACTTCTTCATGCGTGGAGAAGACCTGTAGTGAGCTCTTTCCAATCAGCGCGCTAGTTGAAGTCAATACACTCAACAGAACCATCTCCCGAGTTGTTCCATGGCTACGCGCGAGTACGTTAAGCCAGTCTTTCACTGCTGCTGGCACAGTCTCTTTGAAAGGCAGGGATACGTCCGCCAATTTAGCTTCCAAATCGTAAATAGTGCGGAGCTCGCTATTCTCGCTCTCGCCATCTATTGATTGGAGGTTGCTATTGTGCGAGCCTGCGAGCCCAAGCCTTTTTCAACGAGCCGGAGCCATTTTTTGCGAGCCCCGAAAGTTCCCGCCAAAAATATCCAAATATGGACATAACGCCTTTAGTCTTAATTACATGCGGTCTACATGTGTTCTGCAAAGTGCAAACATGACGGATTCTTCTCACCTGGATGGTAAGTTTTCTTTTCATTTAATTTGTTCCACTTAGTGGTTTGTTTTTTATTAAAATTACGTAGATGTGTAAGTACTAATACTGTTTACACATTTTGCTTTGAAAATATCAGGTTTGGGAGGCTTTAATCCTAACGATAGTAAGGTGAGTTTTAGTCTGACTTGTGATGAATTGTGATTTATTTCGATCCTTCCCGTTTTTTGCCTCACTCAGTGAGGCAGTTATTCTTAACCTTGGTATTCCATCGCTTACATTGGTAGAATTCACTATTTCACACGATTAGTTGAAAACAAAAATGAAATGGTAGCATGCCAAGTATCTTCTTACTGTCTGGTTTCGTTACCGCTGAATTAAATCACTTTTGGAGAATTAAAAGTCCAGAAGTTTTTAAAGTTATCTTTTAATACAAGATAGTGGTCTTGTGGTGCATTAGACTGTCCTGACTTTTAAAAGAGGCAGTTTCGCGCTGTTTTACAGAGATACCTTCGGATATTATAAGCTTACTTGTACACATTCAAAAGGAATTGAGTCTTACACTCTACCAGGAATTCAAGAAAACTTTCAATTGATGAACCGATCGCGATCGTAGTACGAGTGCGATAATAACATGCGTCAAAACATTTTTATTTATGATTAAAAAAAATCTCTGTTAAGAGAGTGTCTCTGTAAGAGCGGTCCGGTCGATTTTGCTTGAGACACGGATTTCGCTCGTTTCTCGTGTGTTGTAAGACATTCATGTACCTATACTATAACCACAATCAGTTTGATCGGATCTCTTTATTTTTCAGAGTTTTACGGAAATTAAATTTCACTCGAGCGAAGGCTTGTCGTGACACTTTTCAAGACTTTAATTTCATACAACTTTGGAGGACAATTTACAAAAAACTACGGAACTCAGCAAAAAACAAATACCATAGCCATGTATATTAACTCTATCTTATCTATCGAGGCGACTTTCGTAAACATCACGTGTCAATCAAGGAAACAGGAAGACTTGAATGACACCTTATCAGTTCGCCTAAATCAAACACGCCAAAACCGATCAAATTCAAGGTAAATTTTTGAAAAAGTGAGGCGTTCTTAACTGATCCAACTAACATAACTAGGAAGTAGGTGCCATAGAAAAGATAACTACAGAAAAAAACTTTGCGGCCCGACCTTTACGAGAACTTTATAACTCCGTGAACTTACCTAATTTTCGGCAATCTCCAAGTTTGGCCGCCATTTTGAGGGACTTGTCAACATGAAGCGTAACCGATATAAATCAAGCAGGTAAATCTAAAACCGTCAGAAATATATAAGAAAGCAATTCAAATGAACTTTACTTTCAATTCAAGCGGCAAAATTTGAAATTGTTCGTTAAACTTACAATCCTCATGCGACCATTTCTTTCAAAAATTCAAACACTACAACTAGTGTTCGAATTCCCCTCGCCGATTCCACCGCAAGAAATAACCTGTGCCACCCAAGCTTCGACTCGAATATGAAGTACGAATCAAGTAACATAACTGCTTCATCTTCGCGGCAATATCACGCTGGTATTTTGATTTTCCAATCGACAAGAACGGTGATCAGGAATCGATCGGTTTGTTTACCTGGTAAACGTGACCGCTGACCAGCCGCTAAGTGAAAACAGCATAGCGCGGGGTGGGGTGGTTGGCGGGCTTATCGTCATAAGATATTCGAATGCATGCTCAAAAAGCTCTAGGACTATCAGTCTAAACAGTGAAGGCATGCTTTGTGGTACACACAACTTTTATTTTATTCTCATAACTTTCTCCTCTAAATTAGAACTGGTATTAATCATATCAAACTTATCCTATAGAAAACTGAACATTTGCTTAAATTGGTCCCAAGCCTCCGTATTACTCACCTGACATGCGCAGAACAATTAAATATGCAAAGGGCGCCAATGTTAAAAATGGCGGCCAACAGAGTGAAGCGGGAGCGTAAGACTCTGAAGAGATTTATTGACGAATTCGCAGAAGCTAAGACCAAGCAATGCAAGAAAATAAAAACTACGGATAAGAATATTTATCCTGTAGAGATAATACAGGTCGACAAAGCGAGAAACATGGTCAAAATTCATTTCAAAGGGTACAGCGAGAAATTTGACGAATGGAGGCCATGCGATGAACATAATTTGCCCGTAATGCGATTGGAACAGATGTCAAAACCAACCGATGATTCCTTCAGCGATCGCCTGCAAACTTTTTATGAACGTGTTTACAGGGAGATCAAGCGAAAGTTGTACTCCGGGCGCAGAGAGGATCCAGAAGTTCGTATTGAAATTCAAGTCGATGACGACGTTTTCTATAAAAGTCTTGGAAGGATTTCATCCAAAAAATATCAGAGGAATAAACTAATATATGAAATTCTTTCAAATGAAACTCTGGATTGTTATATCGGCACAAAGTGGAATGAGCGGATCATGAATGAAAACGGCGATTTTGCTTATGTTGTACCAGGAACTGTGAGATTTTGGTTGACAAAAAGAAACCCCATAGTGGAATTTAAATTAATTGGCGATAAATACGTGAGATCTGAAATCGAAGACGGGCATCAACTCGTTTTTACATTTGTCCGTGGAGATGGCAACAGATGTGGATACAAAAATATGGTCCATCATTAATATATTTGATTTAGCACATGTTTATTGATTTTGATAGTTGATGTCAAAGAATTATTTTACTTGCATGTGAATTACCTTCATAAAATGTAAACATGTGGTTATAAATGACCCATATATTTCAGTCTGTGATTCTGTTGTAATCAATGCAGTAACATTTTTGAAAAAGACTCCTTAAATGCTGTATACAAGAAACATTTCACAGGCATAGCAAATTATTCTACACAACTTCTACTAACAGTTTTTGGGTAATACACTCCCTTAATACATTGATATATTATATGATTACTGATTGATTAAATCACATCTTGGCTTCCATTTACCATCTATTTTAACAAGATGTGCACAGAAAGTGGGAGCATCGCATTTGCTGCATTTTGCAGTACATGTTTTGATGGTATGGCCAGAAGTTGAACAGTTTCCACAGTTGTAACTTTCCTTCACCCTTTCCAAACCAGCTGCTTCCAAAAGCTGTATTCTGTGTTTTTTCAAGAAAAGTTGCTTTAGAGCAGAAACCCCTCTATGATTAGATGATCTAAAGTAGTCCTTTGATACAGTGTCATTGTACTTCTCCATACCTTGCTGAGTGTAATAAGCTAAATTTTGGTAGAGCTTTAAAAATTCAGGTACATGAGCATACAAAGAATGCATATATGGTGTTACATCTTTTGCTTGGTAAAGGTCTAAGAATTTTTGAAACCATTTTTTGATTTTGTCTTTGAGGCTAGAGATAGCATCATCTGTAGTGTAATTAAGTTTAAGATCACCCATAATATCTATGAAATTACCCCAAAGGGCTTGCAGCTTGTCCACATTATGAAACTCTGGTAATAGTAAGTGAAAATTGATATGTTGGAAAAGCAAGAGTTTTTCAGGTCCAGTAAGGTCTCTGTACTCCAACTTCTTGCTGTCCCTATTAATTTTCCATTCAAAATTAATTCCAAGTTCTTTTACAAATTTCTCATACCCAGCCATATGTCTATACTTATTTCGACAAAACCCATTTGAAAAAGTAGATACCTTGTCAATGGCATCTTTCCTGCGAAGTTCCCTGATCAGAAGTTCAATTAAATTATCAGATATTCTCAAAAATAAATGTAGAGTATCAATTATTACATGGTCTATAGGAATAAAATCAAATAATGGATTAGTTTTACAATTATATTGTTTATATTTTGCATACTTACCTATTTCTTGTAAATCTCTTGCCCCAAGAGATTTGTCAGTTATAGACCACTTTTTACTGATGTCAAACCTTTCATTTCTTGGGCACTTACACCAAATACAAGAGAAATTTTGATTGGCGGCCCCTAAACCACAAACACAGGCTAGAAACTTCCAGTCTCCTCCCAAAAAATACTCAATGCTATACTTATGACTATTTACAGTTATTTCTTTTAAATTTGACATTTCATTATTTAGATCAGCAAGGCTTTCTTTAAGATTGTCATAGTTCTCTGTTGTCTTAATTATTGCTAGAACATAGTTCCCTTTTTCATTCATTGCTGCATCCTTTTCATTCAAAATTGTGTATGTCACATTTTCAAGTTTAAGCCTTTTCCCAATGTTGGTACCATCACCACTGAGCTTTACTTTAATAGTATTAACCTTGTCCAATACTCCATTTTTCTGCAGCCTTTTTATCTGTTCCTCAAGACTCTCCCTGAAAGAAATCTGTACTCCCTCTACCTCCCCTGGTGTACTTCTCAGATTCCAATTGGCATTGAGCTTATCTAGGTGTTTGCATATTTTATATTTTGTGGGCATGTCTTTACACTTCATGGCCAACTCATGCCAAGCTTCATTAGATATATTGAATTTGTCCTTCAAGTAAACCCACATATTGATGTCATCAATATCATTGTCGGTCAGTTCTCTTGGCTCTGTTTCCAATTGTAACTCTCCCTCTTCTACCAATGAAATAGTTTCATATTGTTGAGTGTCATTATTAAATACCTCAACCTTGGTGGCAATAAAATTATAGAGGCCTAAAAATGACAGTGCTGAGTGGCAGTCTTCTTTAAATCCTCGCCTTAATCTTGCCTGATGTTGTTTAGTATAATCAGTGAAACGTTTGCTTTTGTTTGGACCTCTTTGTCCCTTTTTTTGCATTCTTGCTGCTTTTTTCGCTAATCTTTTGAATTTTTGTTTGTATTGTTCTTTTCTGTTTTCCGAATCCCTAATAACATCTTCAAGCTCCTGCTCAATCTTTAATCGCTTTGCCTGCTCTGCGGCTAAATCCAGTTCAGCTTTCCTTTTCTGCCCACGAAGCTGTTGGTTTTCCTCAATCAATGAGTTGTTTTCGAGCTCATGATAGAAAATTTTGAAGGAGTAGTTTTTTGCCTTCCACGCATCAATTAGCTTCTTTATACTTTTCCCCCCACTTTTTGACGCTTTCTTGAACGCTGAATGGAGGAGAGAAATCTTTTTCCTGAAGACGTTGAGAATTCTGGAATTTATAACAACTCCGCGAATCTCAGATTCCTTCAATATTTTTTCCACGATTCCCACAATCACAGAATCAGCACTTTCGTCGTTCGGCTCCTGATCAGACTTCTTCGACAGGGAATATATGAGATAGCTGATTAAAAAAAATCAGTTCGGTGAAAAAAAATTGAAAAAAATTAAAAAGAAAAAAGAAACAGGTCGGAATACACTTCGATAAGCGCAATTTTTACTTACTTGTTTATTTCGTAAGTAAACCAAGGCAGTTTTTCCCCTTTTGGACCATTTGTTTCTTCGCCGAAATCGTTTTGTGCATCTACCGCCACCGCGAGAAGAGCCAGCGAAGAAAAAATCACCAGCGCGTAAACTTCGAGTCCCATTTCCCGAACCCAAACAATATCCAAACCTCATGTATTATACATCAAATTGCGCCAAATTTATTGTTTTTTTCGTATTTCGCGGTAATGACCAGTTATAGGCATGCGCTTTAGAGTTATAGCCCCAGACTCCATGGCCACTGCTTGCATGTGGCGTGAACCTCTCTTCGACATGTCTGAATCACTAACCATAAGTCTCAAAAACCCGAACGAAATATTTTAATGATTGCCTTCAAATGCAGTGGTATATAAAGCTTATGTACGTTAGTTTTAGAAACTGAAGGTAAGAAAGATAGCAATTCAAATGAAATACACGAAAAAGAGGAAAATGTTCGAAAATTAGCGTGTTTTTGACTGACCTTAGACTGCGTGACATGTCACGAAAATCTACAGAGGCAGATGTTAAACGTAAGTTTGATATGAATAGAGTTATCAATATATTTTTAACCGGGTACCCGTATAACCTTTTTGCTTGTCATCAGTGGTATAAAATAAAATGTCTTTTCCACCAGAACCTTTTATTTATGCCCCATTGCACGGAATGAACACTATACTTAGAATGTTTGCTCTAAGTAAATTTTTCTGTTCCCAAGAATGTATGCAAAGTGATAGAGATTTGATTCATTCCTCTGACACGTTCTTTTAAGTTATGGCGCGTGCAGGTTTTTTCTATCAAAAGTCGCGCGTGTAACACACCGGAATTGAAAATTCGTCGTAAAATTGCACGAACCTTAGAATGAGTTTAGGCAACTTTGACTTCTGGCAAGATTAAGAGGATGGTTCAAAGGACCCCTTGAGATTTTTTTCAGGACTGTAACTGAGATTTGTTAATAACTATGATAATCGTCATCATTAGCGGACGGTGCTTTTTGCCCATTGTTGTCATCATTATCGTTATCACGCCGGAAGAAGTATGAAGCCGGCATGTCGCCTTACCTAGCTACACAGAAAACTGTTCTCTCTTTTGCTCCCCTTGGATCCTGGAAACTGTTACTATTAAGACGATCAACAAGAAAGCCTTTATAATTATAGAAACTTTTGATTAACAGAATGTAGGAAAAAAATCGGTGGGGAGAGTTTGTCGCGTATCTTATAATCTGAACGATAGTTTTAAATAAAACAAATAACAATTCATTCAATTTACCTTAGTTGTCTCGTGTTTAAAAGTGGCGCTTCTGGGACCATAGATTCTTCTCTGATTCTTCTTGTCTCAGCCAAAACTCACTATCATCAACTTTTTTCTTGTGCTTCTTACGGCATGGGACACAGAGAGCTGAGGTAAGCGATTGCAAATTTCTCAGTTAAAGTAAAGCCCAGTAGCATCCATCAGGAATTAAAAACCGACATGCACTGTTTACTTTTATTATTCTTAATCAAATAAGGGGTGTTTTAGTCTGCAAATTTAATCATATCGGTTAATGAGAATCATACAAACTGAGGAAAACTGACCGCAAATAATTGTGAACCGTACGCATGAGTAAGTAGATTGCGTTGTCAGGTGATTTGATCTTCTACAAAAACATTATTGATTATCAACCGAGAAACTTTGTACATATTTCCATCTGTGATGAAAAGCACTTACACATAGATCTATTTTTTTTCAACGTGATGTGTACTTAAGTACCCTTCATCTAATAAAGAATTTCTTCTCTTTTCGAGCAGATATGTCACGTGACAAAAATAGATAACAGAAAATGTTACTGAAGACCACCTGATTCAACTGGAATAATAACTCCAAACAGCTTTTGAACGTCCTGAGACATATGCAAGGTAATTACATCTCTGCCTTGGATACGCTTCCTGACACTATCTTGATCAGGATACTGACGTGTTACCTTTGCACTTCTCCAAAACTTCCCCAGAGTGTAGCGATGCCTATAGCAAATCCACATTTTTTTGTTTATCCTCCTGAGCGAGGTGAAATAGGCCAATCCTTGCCAAGATTAGCTAATTTTCCCTTAAAAACCTCTTTAGACAGGTGGCAGCTTATCAAATGATGAGGTTTAGAGCAGCTTTAAACCCAGTATGAAAGGAAGTGCAGAGTTGCAGCTATTTACTTTTGCTTATTCAGGATTTTTCATTTTTTTCATCTTTCCACCTGCTTTTGAACCAGCAAGAGGCAAAACTAAACAAATCATGATTAAAAATATGACATATCTGCTCGAAAAGAGAAGAAATTCTTTATTAGATGAAGGGTACTTAAGTACACATCACGTTGAAAAAAAATAGATCTATGTGTAAGTGCTTTTCATCACAGATGGAAATATGTACAAAGTTTCTCGGTTGATAATCAATAATGTTTTTGTAGAAGATCAAATCACCTGACAACGCAATCTACTTACTCATGCGTACGGTTCACAATTATTTGCGGTCAGTTTTCCTCAGTTTGTATGATTCTCATTAACCGATATGATTAAATTTGCAGACTAAAACACCCCTTATTTGATTAAGAATAATAAAAGTAAACAGTGCATGTCGGTTTTTAATTCCTGATGGATGCTACTGGGCTTTACTTTAACTGAGAAATTTGCAATCGCTTACCTCAGCTCTCTGTGTCCCATGCCGTAAGAAGCACAAGAAAAAAGTTGATGATAGTGAGTTTTGGCTGAGACAAGAAGAATCAGAGAAGAATCTATGGTCCCAGAAGCGCCACTTTTAAACACGAGACAACTAAGGTAAATTGAATGAATTGTTATTTGTTTTATTTAAAACTATCGTTCAGATTATAAGATACGCGACAAACTCTCCCCACCGATTTTTTTCCTACATTCTGTTAATCAAAAGTTTCTATAATTATAAAGGCTTTCTTGTTGATCGTCTTAATAGTAACAGTTTCCAGGATCCAAGGGGAGCAAAAGAGAGAACAGTTTTCTGTGTAGCTAGGTAAGGCGACATGCCGGCTTCATACTTCTTCCGGCGTGATAACGATAATGATGACAACAATGGGCAAAAAGCACCGTCCGCTAATGATGACGATTATCATAGTTATTAACAAATCTCAGTTACAGTCCTGAAAAAAATCTCAAGGGGTCCTTTGAACCATCCTCTTAATCTTGCCAGAAGTCAAAGTTGCCTAAACTCATTCAATTCAATTCAATTTCAATTCAATTTTATTTGTTAGCAATACAATATTATCACAGTCCTAGGTGACCCGCAATTAGCAAGCTATTCTAGGCGGGCCACCCTTCTAAAACAAGTGCTGTCTCTGCTAAGGATCACATACCGATACAATTAAACAAAGATAATCATTAATAAAAATACAATTGTTAAATAAAATAAAATAAAATTAAGTCCGTTGAATAATTAAATAATCAATTGCAAAGTTATCAAGATATATAATACAATTGAAACAAGACTTAAACGAAGAGTTACTTTATCAAGAGATATTTACAAATTTCTGAGCAGCGTATATCAACATTCATCTCCTCATTTTCCAAAAGTTTTAACAGGCGATTTTTAAGTTCACGCTTAAACGGGGTTCTGTTTTTAATACGAAGTTCTTTTGGGATGCTATTCCACAATCTTACACCTATTCTAGCAAAAGAAAATAAAAGTTGGTTAGTTCTAGACGCTTTAACGTACAGATTAGCCGTTGCTGAGAATCTTGTGAAATGGTGATGAACCTGCTCGGAGTGGATAAAGAGCATAGAAATATTAGACGGGGCACGGTGATTATCAATGTCATGCATCAAAGAGGAAACCAAATGAGAATAGAGCATAGTTATTGGTAAGATTCTGGAGTTAACAAATAGCGGGGCACTATGAGATTTGCTATCCGCAAAATACATTAGTCGTAGAGCACGTTTTTGTAAAATGAGAACCTTATTTAAATGAGTGTTAGCAGCTTGTCCCCAGGCAATAAGACCATAAGAGATATAGGGTTCAATTAAGGAGCGGTAGATGTTAAGAAGTGTGGCAAATGGGACAAGATGTCTTAACCTGGCAATTATACCAATTCCTTTACTAACTTTAGATGAGATATAATCAATATGATACTTCCAAGAGAGGTTATTATCTATCAGAATTCCTAGATATTTCACAAAAGTTTTTTGTTCTAGAGATACACTTTTTTTAAGATCGTTATTATAAATTTTCAAGTGAACTATGTAGTCCAATTTGCGTTGGTAAGGATGGAAAATAACAAAGTTAGATTTACTAGTGTTAAGAGAAAGTTTGTTTGCGTCCAACCAGTCACCCACTTTTGCGAGTTCATCATTAACAACTTTTTCAAGATCCTTAAGATCTTTGTTTGAATAAAGCAAGTTAGTATCGTCAGCAAATAGGTAAAACTCAAAAATCTGGGAGCAACGGTAAATGTCGTTAACATAAATCAAAAAGAGAAGGGGGCCAAGTACAGACCCTTGAGGGACACCACAAACTATCTCTTCTATATTCGACACGGTTGAACCAATTTGAGTCGACTGGTTCCTGTTCAACAAGTACGAAGAGAACCAGTTATTAATTATTCCTCTGACTCCATAATGATATAATTTGTGCAGTAAGATTGAGTGATCCACCGTATCAAAAGCCTTTTTTAGGTCAATAAAAATACCACAAGAGAATAACTTTGCATCAATATTAGTTTGAATTTTGCTTAAGATATCTAAAATTGCATGTTGGGTTGAACACTTGTCTCTAAATCCATATTGAGAAGTAAAAAAGATACCGTTTTTTTCGCAATGTGATTTAAGACGTTTAGCCATCAATTTCTCAAATAATCGATTGAAGACAGAAAGGAGGGAAATTGGGCGGTAATTACATGGATCAGTTTCGTCTCCCGATTTGTAGATAGGAATTACTTTGGCATGCTTCAAAAGATGGGGATAAATACCCGTTGAGATAGACTTATTCATCATGGCAGCTAAGAGTGGAGAAAGGATATGGCGCCCAGATTTTAGAAGATGAACCGGGCAAGAATATAGACCATATACTTTATTACTGGGTATAGCCAAGATTTCCAAGTCCACCTCGGATGGAACGACGGGATCAAAAAAGAAAGACTTAAAGTGATTAGTGCCGACAAGGTAGTCCTGGAAATTTATCCTGGAAGGTGATATATTGCGTGCAAGCCGCGGTCCAATAGACGCAAAGTACTGATTAAAGATATTGGTTATTTCAGACGGATTTTGTGTTACTCCAGAGTTGTTAGAGCGTTGAAGGGCTGATACTGTTTTTCTGTTACGCTGTCTGTTCAATAGTTCATTAATCCCCTCCCACGTTTTTTTAACATTTCTTAGATTTGTAGTGAAGTAAGCTTCATAATACAATCTTTTACTGAGACGAGAAAGACTAACAATTCTATTCCTATACAGCTTATATTTTGAGATATCTCCTGAATAAAAGAGTCTATTCTTTATTTTGATAGATTTACGTAGGCCCTTAGTTATCCACGGTTTGGAAAATTGTTTAGCCTTGCGCCTAGATAAAATTTTGAGAGGAGCGTGTTTATTAATGAGCTTGTTAAATTTATTGTAAAAGGAAGAAAAGCATTTGTCTACAGATCCATATGTCATTGAGTTATCCCAATCAGTATCCAAGACATCATTAATAAAGCATTCTTCAGAGAAGTTGGAATAATCGCGAATTTTATGTTTAGCAGTAAAATTTTTTGGTATAAGACTGTGGATAAAACAAAATTGGGAGTAGTGATCACTAATGTCTGACACGATATTTCCACCTGAAATTTTATGATCAAATCTATTCAGAAATATATTATCAATGAGTGTGGCAGAATTATTGTAGACTCTAGTTGGTTTATCAATTACCGGGAAGAACGAATAACATTGTAAAGATAACAAAAAATTTTGGGAGTAATCGGAAATTTCAGATTTGAGGAGATCAATATTGAAATCGCCCATAAGATAAACAACTTTATCAGAGGAGCTAAGTTTTTCTAAAGTAAAGTCAACATATTGGAGGAATTGTTCCGGATCATTATGCTGCCTATAAATCACTCCACAAACGATATTTTTACTCTTTAGGGATTCAATTTCGATCCATAAAGCCTGAAAAGCGTCTTTAGATGTTCTCTCCAGAACCTTATATTTCAAACAATTATTAATGTACATTCCAACACCACCACATGATAGAGGTGTTGGGACATATTCAAACTGATAGTTTGGTATGCAGGCATTGAAATCTAGCCCAGATGAATTTGTAATTTTTGTTTCAGTAATACCGATTACACTGAATTGGTAGTCAAGTTCATCTAAAAGATGGACTTGAAAATTATCAATGTTTTTCCGCAAACTTCTTACGTTAGTATGAAGCATAGAGAAAGGACATTGACTATCTGATTCCAACAAAGACTCTTTAAACATAGAAAAACTATAGGGTGAGAAATATTTACATCTAATTTGTTGCATGCTTAAGTTTCTGTCGGGATTTAATGTTGATTCGGTATTTAAGCGAAACAAATCTAAATCATAAATACTATGAAGTTTGTCTAAGTACTTCTTGGTCGGTAAGTCACTGTTGAGAATGTTATTAAACTGTCCATGAGCTCTAATAATTTCAACATTCGCGTATGGAAGTTCGCTTAGGGTAGATTTAATTGTACAACGAACACGTTTCTTGCTAACACTCATACTTATTATCTAAAAACAGACAAACAACTCTACATCAACATGAATACTTAGCCTTCACGTCCATTCGTTAATCGGTGCAGGTCCGTGATATCCTTAATCTTGATGGCTCGAGACGTGGTATCTTTACGAAGATAAACAAGCGATCCCTTCGACCAGCAATACTGATAGTGAAACTGCTCCTTGAACCTCTTAGCTTCAAATAAAACCTTTTGCATCCTTGGCGTTAAATGGTCAAAAATTCTAACAGCGGAAAGGGAGGCATCGTCAGGTAAACCAACAGCAGATGGGGCAACTTTACTTGCATTTCTTTTATGATTCATGACATCATCTTTTGACAATCGTCTAATAAATCGGCAAATGATTGGCCGCGGGCCGCCATTGTCATTGCTTCTCGTTGGGACTCGATGGGCTGTGTCAATGTCATGAATTGAGACAGCGGATCCAATTGCCTTAAATAAACATTCACATAGCGCACTCGTAGAAGCCGAGGATTCATCTTGACTCAATTGAGGGACACCAACAATCTTAACATTATATTGATAACTGTACTCTTGAAATTCATCGATGCTCCTGGAAACTCTGTTAACTTCAACAGCAATCTCATCAAGCATGGCACCTAAGCGATCAAGTTCTTTACCAGCAGAGACCCTGAATCGCTCAAAGTCATCATATTCTTTACTCATGAATTCTAAGCTTTGCTCTACTTCGTCATTAGTCGCTGCAGGTTTTTTTGACTGCTCCAGCAGCATCACCTTCATCTTAGCAATCTCATCCGCC